TGTTTTAGACTGTCCACCACAATGCCTATGAAGAAGATCCAATACGCAAATGAATTCCGGAATCAAAATCAGCGAAAAAATGACATCCGTCGAGGCCCCGAGTTCTCCCCCGCCTCCGTGGGTAAAAAAATCGCTAACTTTCTTTTTTCGTATTTCTAATAATTAATATTAAAAAAAATCGCTAACTTTTATTTGCCACACTTATAATAACACAGTTGAAATATCACGACACGGGAAAAGAAAAAGATTGCTTGCCCCAAGTTGGCCAATGGAATATGATGAACAAGGTTTTTTTTTTTTTTTTTCCCAACCGATAATTTTTTTTTCTTTCTCAATTGTCGAAATAAGATTTTATTTTATTTAATTCGGACAGAAAATGATAAACGGCATGAATGTGAACCGTTGGGCATGTATTAACTTCTCACGGAGCGTACAAGATAGCGTTGCTCGTGGATTTTGCAATGAGCTAGCTCAAATGTGTCAAGTATCGGGCATGGTATATTAGTATATTCTTTCTTTTATTTATTTTTTCTTTTATTCGTTTTGTACTAAATATACGATGTACTCGTATAATTTAATCATAGGAGTCACATTTTTATTACAGGAATTTAATCCGGAACCCGTCATTCCAATCTACATCGCTCGGCCGGATCAAGTCGAAAAAGCTTTGAAGCATGTTTATCATGCATGCACCAATAAATTAAAAGGAAAAGAATTGGAGCTTTTGCTAGCTATTTTGCCCGACAACAACGGCTCTCTATACGGTATATTTATGCCATAATTAAAGAAAATGGTTTATTGCATTTAGCACCCCTTTGTGTACTCTAATTGTCCAAAAACCCTCAGTGTTATAAATATTAGCAAAACCCCCCCTATGATTCAGTTTTATTAGCAAGCCCCCTAAAAATGCACCATTTAGGGGGTTGTGTGCTAACAAAACGCATTATATGGGGTGCTCTACTAATATCCATAACACGAGTTTTTTTAGCAATTTAGTAACGAAAATATTGAGATAAAATTATTATTATGATTATTATTATTAATTTTTATATTGTGTTGGTGATAGGTGATTTGAAGCGAATATGTGAAACCGATCTTGGTATAATATCCCAGTGTTGTCTCACGAAGCATGTTTTCAAGATCAACAAGCAATATCTTGCTAATGTGTCCTTAAAAATAAATGTCAAGGTACGAGAATATTGATTATCTTTTTTAAAATTAATTACGAGAAATTCTTCGATAAACTTTTAATATATTATAATTATCGAACACAGATGGGTGGAAGAAATACGGTTCTATTGGATGCAATAAGCTGTAGAATACCGCTGGTGAGTGATATACCTACGATTATATTCGGAGCTGATGTAACGCATCCCGAAAACGGAGAGGAGTCGAGCCCATCGATAGCTGCTGTATGATTATTAACTTCTCACTTTACTTTTTTTTTTAATTTAAAAAATTATATTTTACTATCGGTTTTTGCTAAAAAAAATATTATTTCTTTTTAAATGTAGGTTGTAGCTTCTCAAGATTGGCCCGAGGTGACAAAGTACGCGGGGTTGGTTTGTGCACAGGCGCATAGACAAGAATTGATACAAGATTTGTACAAGACTTGGCAAGATCCTGTTCGTGGGACCGTGAGTGGCGGCATGATCAGGTTCGATTTTTTTTTTTTTTGGGTTTTTTTATTATTAATTTTTTTGGATTTTTTTAAAATTATTTTTGGGATTTTTTTTTAATGTATTTTAAGTTAATGTTTTGCTGTCGTTTGCAGGGATCTTTTGGTTTCGTTTAGAAAAGCAACTGGACAAAAGCCACAGAGGATAATATTTTACAGGTCGATATAAATTTTTTTTATTCGCTATTTTTTAATTGTCGAAAACCGGTAAATATTACGTGTAATAAATATTTTTTTTAATCTGACTGGTGAATAAATATAACAGTTGAGTCACCGGACACGATCCCTCCACTCATGA